ATGACGCGTGTCCCGCATGCGCGAGCAGATGCGGATTGAAGCGCACGTGCGCTCGCGCTTCGACGAAGTCGAGAAAGAAACATCGTCGTATGGGAAACGAAGCATAGAAAAGAAAGAGACCGAATATAAGAGAGGAGAAAAAGGGAGAAAAAGAGGGGGGGGGGGGGCGGAGGATGAACACAAAACGTATAACGTACAACGTATAGAACGTTATAAGGGATTATTCCTAGCTACGTAGTGGCGTATGTACCCTTCAAGCTCGTGTAAACACCAAGCTGCTAGCTAGCTAGCTAGCTGTTGAAAAAGAGAAATACGAGGAGTAAGAAGAAGAAGAAGAAGAAGAAGCTTGGATTAAAGGCTCGTGTAAACGTACGAACGAATGAACGAATGAACGAACGTTAGAACGATAGAATGAAAAAAAGGAAAACTTCTTATCCACGATGATGAGTAGTATAGAGTAAGAGTTAAGATAAAAAGAGATAAAAAGAGAAAAAAAATATATATATAGAGAGAAATGGTTGGTAGAGTGCTTATGAAAGCGTTATAAGAAAAAAGAAAACGAAGATAAGAAAAAAAGATGAAAGGGAGATGATGGTTTTAGACGATTAAAATTTGTTAATGATATTATATATATGTATATACATAGAAATAATAATGTGTAACAGATAGAAATCGTGTGTTTATAATATGAGAGAAAGAAGTAAATATAAAGATGATTAAAATTTATAATATACTAAGTAATACAAAATCTCTAATTGAAATAATCGTTGTACCAAGCTTTTGCTATTTATATATATATATGTATAAGTTTTCATATGTTAATCCTTTGCACTTGTGGCAATATACATACAGATATACGTAATCTGTTTATAACTTACGTATGATATCTCATATCATATGGAAAATTTTCTATACTAAGAAACAACATAGACTTTTTAATATTTCAATAAAATAATAATTAAAATACCATCAGTGAGATGCACTATGAAGATTAATAATTGAATGGTCGTTCAAAAGAAAAGATCTATGTTAAATTATGGTTGAACTATGTCACACAAGTTTGCCGATCTTGATCTTTCGGTCAATCGTTCAATTAATTTCTTGTATTTCACAAAAAAAAAAAGAAGAAACGATGTATATAATTAATTAAGTTAAATAGATGAGGAGGCCTTTCTTAGAAAACTTTAGTGTCAAAGAAACGCTTATGACGCCTAAGATTAATAGTCATTGGAATTAAGCAAAAGTAAAGTAAAGTAAAGTAAAAAAAAAAGAGAGATGGGGGGGGGGGGAGAAGAAAGAAAGAAAGAAAGAAAAAATGATCATTAGATCTAGGAAATCATGGAGAATGATCTAAGGCACGTTATGACGTCAAAGAAGAGTATAATCGTGCGTGCACGTCTTCTTACTAATAGTAGTAGTAGTAGTAGTAGTAGAAGAAGAAGAAGAAGAAGAAAGGAAAGGTTCAAAGCGTTGGTAAACGTCGAGAGAAAGGCAGATGTGGGTAAGTTAACGACCCGTTATCGCGCGAGCGTTGAAGTTGCCCGTTGCTGCTGCTGCCTCCTCCACCTACCCCTCCTTTTCCTCCTCTTCCTCCACCACCTTCTCTTCATCGCTGAAACTGGTTGCCTCAACACAACTCTGAGATCGCGGCCACCACACGAGAAACAAGAACAGAAGGAAAGAGAGATGAGAAGAAACGAGAAAAGATCAGATGAGAGGAGAGGAAAGGAAAGGATAGGAGAGGAGAGGAGAGAAGTGAAGAAGAAAAAAGATCAGATGAGATGAGATGAGATGAAATGAGATGAGGAGAGGAAAGGAGAGGTAAGATGAAATGAGGTGAGGTGAGGGAGAGAAAAGATGAGAAGAAAGAAAGGTGTGGGGGGAAAGAAGACGAAGAGAAATAGTGGGGAAGGGAAGGGAAGGGGGGGGGAGAAAGGGCACCGCGCATTTTAAGGGGGGAGAATCGCGAATCGTTGAGAGGAGAAGCCGATCGACCGAGTACGAGACACTCGGCACTCCTCTCCTCTCCTCTCCGCATTTTAAGGGGGGAGAATCGCGAATCGTTGAGAGGAGAAGCCGATCGACCGAGTACGAGACACTCGGCACTCCTCTCCTCTCCTCTCCTCTCCTCTCTCCTTCTCTCTCTCTCTCTCTCTCTCTCTCTCTCTCTCTCTCT